TATAAATTTGTACTATATCAAAAATTAAGCTAATAAAAACCAACTGGCATTGTCGCCAAAGTTCAAAAAAAAAAAAATTTTACAATCAAAAAATGCATTTAATCTTAGTTAGACCTCTTTGCTTCTTTACCAATTCTCGGATACTACTTTGGAATATCTTAATAATTGTTAACTTTAACAAAAAATTCATAATACTTTATATATAGAATGGCTAACAAAATATAGAAAATAACTCTTGTATAGTAACACAAAATGATATTTTTAACACTTTTGCACTTCTTTTGGTTGCTTTATCAACCTTTAACCTTTTTATCTAAACACATTAATAACTTTGTTAACTTTTGTGCTCACTTTTATGAACTCTTATACTAATATAAAAATATATACCAACAACTTTTTGCTTGTTAATTTAATTACTTTTTTTTTTTATAAATTATTATGTAAGTAAAGTTAAATTCTAATGTGACTGGCTATTTTAAATGATCAATAAAATTTCAGAGCAATCCGGATTATAAGAAAAATTTTGCTCCAGGTCACTCTATATGGAGCAACCCGATAGACAACCAAGATTTTGCTTCGGGTTACTATATAATTTTTAAAATCTCAACCCAATTCAACCTTAAAGTGAAGTATAACCTAGATTGCTCCGGAGTAAGTTGCTCCATTAACAACCATATGTAAAAGTATCTGGCAGCATTTATTTCGAACTTTAAATATAAGCTTTAATTAAAATTCTTTAATTTCACTTCGATTTTATTAATTTTATTATTTCACGTGATTTTTAGCCAATCAAATCGGTAGTTTTAGAGAATTAAGCAACAAACCTTGTAGAACGAGATGAAAGCTATAGTTGTAAAATTATCGTAATCTTGCGTAATCTTGCGTAATCTTGTGTAAGTTTCAGTAAAATGTGACTAGGAAATCACTTTTAGATGGGGTTTTCCTAGTCTATTCCCATATGATTCCATGTGATTGGTTGGATCATACGCTAAGTTTTTTCATATCACATATGTAAAATATAATTTTCAACCCACCATATCGGAATCATTTCCATATTTGATATTTTATAAATTGTAAGTAGGTAACAGCAATGCAGCCATCATTGGACATGTATCGAAATGAAGAAGATACATCGTATGGACCCACAAGATCCGAATTCTTTTCGTCATAAATTTTCTTTTGTCAATGGAATTACTTATCGTAAGATTTCTATATTATTTTCATAATATTTACTATATACATCTTTCTTTTAACAATATTAAATTCTTGTTAAACAATGGCAAAAAACAGATTATGTAGACGAGGGAGAAGAAAAGAACGATGTTATAATATTATGTCATGGGTTCCCAGACTTGTAAGTAGAATGTGATACTGAAAAAAGACACAGCTATCTTTAATATAATTTTAATATATTTTTAGTTGGTATGGCTGGCGTTATCAAATTCCTTTCTTAGTATCTAAGGGTTTTAGAGTAATTGCACCTGACCTTCGAGGATTCGGTCAAACTGTATGTATTGCAAGTTAATACTTTAAGCATTTTCAGCAATTTTTATAATCCTTATGCGTAATTCATGCTTATTAGGAAGCGCCCCGATGCCCACCTAACAGCCTTCATCAATATGGTTTTAAGAATATTTGCAAGGACCTTAAAGAAATAATGGATCAACTTAAGATTAAAAAGGCAATTTTTATTGGACATGATTGGTAAATTTTATATATATAAGACATATATGTTATTATGGATTACTACATATTCTGCTTTAATAATAATTATTTGGATTATGCAACTGAGAATTTGAATTCTTTACATTAAATACAAGGGGTACTTTTGTAGTCTGGAGAATGTGTATTTATTATTCCGAACGAGTCCGTGCTGTGGTTAGGTAAATACATGGCTCAATTACTAACCTAAAGTTTGTCACATATACTAAAAATCATTGATGTTGCAGCCTTTGTACTCCTTACATTCCACCTAACGATACGTATCTCAGTAATGAGGCGTTTGCCGAAATTTATCCACAGTTTAAATATATGATTTATCTTTCTCACCCAAAAGCCGAAATTGAGTTAGATGGCAATGTTAGTAAATTGATGATTTTTATATGTAAATTA